TATACGGCGTGGCAACAATAGGCTACATGAATGGGTTCCAGGTTCCATAAACGATATACTTGTCCCCGTCGAATCCTATCACTTAGACAACATTTCGCAAGGTGTTATCAGACACCAAGAGAGGTTTGATTACGACCGTGTTCCCGCAATCTTGGAGCTATGTTGTCAAGCAGGAGCCATCCATCCCGAAGAAATCCTGCAATACTCCAAAATTCACGATAACCCGCAAATTTCGGATGAGGATATCAGGAGTTTACCTGCTGGAGAACTTAAATATGTTGGGGCAAACGCTCTAATGGCATGGGAGAAACTAAGAGCTGGTGTGAAGAAACTCTTGCTGGTTTATCGTTCAAAAGTTTGCAAACGATGCAAGGAGGTTCACATTGGACCAAGCGGTCATAAAGCTCGGCTATGTGGTGTGTTCAAATACGAGAGCTGGCGCGGCACTCACTACTGGGAAAAAGCCGGTGTGAACGATCTGGTACCCGAGAAAGTGGTGTGGCACCGGAGACCTCAGGACCCAGTGGTTCTTTTGAATGAAGGACGGCATCATTACGGACATGCCCCTGCTATTGTGAGCCTTTGTAGCCATGCTGGTGCCATTGTTCCTGTTAAGTACGCTTGCAAAATGAAGCCTCAAGGTCTATCTTTTCCTCACTGATTCAGTTCCAAATCACTAAACGTAGATAGTAGTGCTATATAACTCCTGGTTGTAGTCTGATTATGTGATTGATTTGGTCTTTGGCATTACCATTTTTCGAGAACCATACCAAGCCAAAATAAACCAAGGCTTTGTAGTATTCTGGAGTTCAGACCTTAACTCCAGACGTGATACAATGTTAATGACAAATTTACAGGCTCATCAATGTTACATGTTATCATAAGGCATGTATTACCAAAGGTCGTTTGATGCGTTTCACATTTTCTGGATAATATGGTTCTCAAGCATAGGTAGAAGTTTCATGCTAAAGGGCTAAAAAGCCCATTTGGTCCAATCATAGTGGTCCTGTTGTAGTTGCATGCATGTCAACATTTTTTGGGTACAAATGTTTACAACAAAGTCATCAACGAGGTGGGTAAAAGTGAACCATGAAAGAAAACAATTGAATATTATTAGCCTACCTAGCAAAAGACCATATGTGATTTTATCATTTCCCCTTGCAGTTTGCACAAGTTGGAATTGTATCTCTCAAGTTGCAATTTTATTATGTCGACATTATTAGAGCCCCACTAGCCGATTTTGATTTTGGTTTGTAGCTAACCGGATAATTTTGTTCATCATTCACCCGTTACTTAACGTGTCAAAATTTAGTCACTAGATGACCCTTTTTTTTTTCTTTTTTTTTGCTTCTTTTACCATTGCGATTATAATTTAGATTAAACTTTAATACTTCTGTCATACTAATAACGCATTTGAATGCATTTTTTAAATCTCACCAAAGTTTTAGAACCGATGTGTTAAATTGATATATGGATTTCCTCGAATGGCTAAATCAAGATTGTGTTATTGAGCTACATCATTGGGAATTTTAATCCTTAAGAGAGCACAAAGCCCATCATATGGCACACGTTCCAACGTCCAAGTCTCAATCCAATATCCAAAAATATATTATCTGTTAACACTATTTTAATTGGAATCTCAAACAATGGAGTTGGGAACTAAAATTATTTGGTCTAAAGTGACGTAGTTCCGCCACGTTCTTGTAGCTTCCTGATATCATCAACGAGCTAAGCAAGTAGCATCCTCTTTTGTCTGTTTCCTCGTGACAACTTAACTCCCTCTTAACATACACCTTCACGCCCGATCTATAAGATATGATCGTTATGTTGATATGATTTGAATCGAATCACATGTTATTTGCAAAATAATCTGAGCCTAGGTTTTCAATTTTGTGTAGGATAGTTCATATGTGAATTGCAGTTTTAGTTATTTTCTATTTGTTGCGACTCTAATTAGCTTAACTACTAAATTAAGGTAATCTTATACTTAATTTGTTATTTTTTCGAGACCATGATCATACTATGAATTTTTTATGCTTCCAATGGGAATGCATATATATGTGGACGTAAAAACAACACAACATTGTGGAGTTTTTAATTTGTTTTCCTACGTTCGTAACATTAAACATTTATAAGTTTGTAAGAGAATTTTGAATACATAATGTGAAATTCCACATCAAGATAGAAAGAACATTTATTTTATTAAATGTAATAATATTTAAATAGTGTAGCACATTGATTTGGGCAAAACATTGTCCGGTTTATGAAAAAAAATTAAATTTTATTTTATCAGATTTTCTTGCATCATATAGATTGTATATATTTATGATGTTGAAGATGAAACTTTGACAAAAAGGTTTTACATGCAATATACTGATAATCTCTCTACTAGTATTGTTTATACTCATCATCATTCTCATTAGTATGAAAATTCTAAGTTTTTACTTAGCTAAACACCAAAAGAGAACAAGATAAAAAAGAAAAAAAAAAAAAAAAGAGAAGGAAACCGACAGCAATAAAAATGGAAAGATAGGATTGCCAAGTCGTATGCAATCTGCGACACAATTCAAAGAAAGATAGGGTTTATCTATTTTCCTCGGGAGACATAACTATTTATTTTTTAAAATTACTCAAGAGTTCGAATACGATTTTAAAAACTCTACCAATATAAATAATCACCAGATTTTACACGTAGGTGACAATAAAAATTACCAACACGTAAATTTTCAAATGGTTGAAGTTATTGATATACTAAAGAACATATTAACACGAATAATGCTTTTGCTCGTAGTCTTAGGCAGTGTCTATAAATAGTTGTTGAATATGCAAAAAACGTGTGTGAGGTTAGTAGGATAACACATAGTAAATTCGTGTTCTTTTCTTAGTTGCTTCCACTTCCTCTATAGAATGAAATTAGACTAATCTATATATTATATACCTACTCGACTCGAGAGAACTAAGATTATTAGTTAAACCGATTCGTTATACGGCTAAAATATTTCAGGCCATGCATGATGCATGCTCACATGGACCGGCACATATACCTCGCTGTATCTACTAGAAACCGTAGCATAAATTCTTGTGCAACTCTTGGTTTGTTCGAACCATTTCTATTATACACATCACATTTGTTTTTAACTAGATTAAAAAGAAAGAGACAATATATGAAGGATGTCAAATAATAATTCGTTTCTGCCATAATACACCATACGTGTCACAATTATTTAAGTTCAGAAAAATATAATTTTCAGACAAAAAAAAAAAGGAAAAAAGTATAGTTTTTAGTCCAACTTGGAAAGTAAAAATCAACCGCACTAGTTTTTTTTTTGTATAAGAAGTATATTTCAAATATTTTAATCAAATACTTCGTAAGAAAGCAATATTTTACAATGCAGAAATTAGTATATAAGGAGATGAGAGGGAAGAAGAAAAAACATGCTTGTAGCTTCTCTACTCTATAGGTCCTTACAAATCAAGATCATTTCCGATTTATAAAAGTTGAAGCCATGGCTGCATCTTTCTCTGTCCCCTCTATGGTAAATATATAACAACCAATGAATCTCTTTATTGTTATTTGATTATGTCGGTTACAACAAATTATTTCATTACAAATTGAGATTAACATGCGAATTGATGATAACAAAAATTCAGATTATGGAAGAAGAAGGGAGATTCGAGGCGGAGGTTGCGGAGGTGCAGACTTGGTGGAGCTCAGAGAGGTTCAAGCTAACAAGGCGTCCTTACACAGCCCGTGACGTGGTTGCTCTACGTGGCCATCTCAAGCAAGGATACGCTTCGAACGAGATGGCTAAGAAGCTTTGGCGAACACTTAAAAGTCACCAAGCCAATGGCACGGCCTCTCGCACGTTCGGTGCGTTGGACCCTGTTCAGGTGACCATGATGGCTAAACATTTAGACACCATCTACGTCTCTGGTTGGCAGTGCTCGTCCACTCACACGTCTACTAATGAGCCTGGACCGGACCTTGCTGACTATCCTTATGACACTGTGCCTAACAAGGTTGAACACCTCTTCTTCGCTCAGCAGTACCATGACAGGTAAATTAACTCACTAATAAAATTTTAATTGCAATTATACTAGGTTAGTGGCAATTTTGCTTATTAGTCGTACGTAACTAGATACAGACTGCTTACTAGGAGAATTAGTTATGTGCTTAAAAAAAAATAGTGGTATCGAAGACATCATGCGGAATTTTTGAAAAGATAAAGACAAGTCTAGTTTAATTGCTGATCGGTGAACTTGATTACGAAATTACTTCTTTCGAGGTCTTACGTTGCTACGTGTTCAGAATAATTCAATTGTCTGTCAAACTTTAGTTTTCTACACGTTGCAAATAAGACAAGTTTATTTGTGCCAATCACATTTTTAATCTCCAAAAGAGACACTTTCCATTTGGTTTACATGGTTGCATGCATGCTCGTTTAATGTCCAAAGTCCACATATACATTAACAAACCATAAAATCCAATTATAAGGAATTTTCATTAGGTTTTAAGAGATAGCAAATTAAGTTTAATAACAAAAAATAATATCCCTAAGATAATTAATTACAACGATGAAATATCACAGAAAGCAAAGGGAGGCAAGAATGAGCATGAGCAGGGAAGAGAGAACAAAAACCCCGTTCGTGGACTACCTGAAGCCCATCATCGCCGACGGAGATACCGGTTTCGGTGGCACCACCGCGACGGTCAAACTCTGCAAGCTCTTTGTCGAGAGAGGTGCCGCTGGTGTCCACATCGAGGACCAGTCCTCCGTGACCAAGAAGTGCGGCCACATGGCTGGAAAAGTCCTCGTGGCAGTCAGCGAACACATCAACCGCCTTGTAGCGGCTCGACTCCAGTTCGATGTGATGGGCACAGAGACTGTCCTGGTCGCTAGAACCGACGCGGTCGCAGCCACTCTGATCCAGTCCAACATTGATTCGAGGGACCACCAGTTCATCCTTGGTGTCACTAACCCTAGCCATAGAGGCAGGAGTCTGTCCTCGCTTCTCGCCGAGGGTATGGCTGTAGGCAAGAACGGTCCGGCATTGCAATCCATTGAAGACCAGTGGATTAGCTCAGCCGGTCTTATGACCTTTTCGGAAGCTGTCTTGCAGGCCCTCAAGCGCATGAACCTCAACGAGAATGAGAAGAGTCGGAGAGTGAACGAGTGGCTAAGCCATGCAAGGTAATGGATTAGTATTTTTATTGTTTGAGAATAGTCATTTTTTCTTAAATATCATTGGAGTTATTAGTTTTAAAATTATTTACCATATTAATAACGATTTGATTTGATTTTTTTGGTTTTATCAATTAGTCATATGGTTTTCGTTATAAAACTATATTCTAAAACATTAGTTCTCATATGTTTTGCCCCTACAAATATACTCATATGTTTAACTTAAGATCCTAAAACATATTTTTGTTTCTGTTAAAGGACAATATTATCTTCTGATGTTCTCATGTTACAAGTATATATTCTAGCTAATGTATCTTGAAATCTGTTGGAATAAGCAGGTACGAGAACTGCCTGTCAAACGAGCAAGGCCGAGAGCTAGCAGCAAAACTTGGCGTGACAGATCTTTTCTGGGACTGGGACTTGCCAAGAACCAGAGAAGGATTTTACCGGTTCCAAGGCTCGGTTGAAGCTGCCGTGGTCCGTGGATGGGCCTTTGCACAGATCGCTGACCTCATCTGGATGGAAACCGCAAGCCCTGACCTTAACGAATGCACCCAATTCGCCGAAGGAGTCAAGTCCAAGACACCGGAGGTGATGCTTGCCTACAATCTCTCGCCGTCCTTTAACTGGGACGCTTCTGGTATGACTGATCAGCAGATGATGGAGTTCATTCCGCGGATCGCTAGGCTTGGATATTGTTGGCAGTTCATAACGCTTGCGGGTTTCCATGCGGATGCTCTTGTGGTTGACACTTTTGCAAAGGATTACGCGAGGCGTGGGATGTTGGCTTATGTGGAGAGGATACAGAGAGAAGAGAGGACACATGGTGTTGATACTTTGGCTCATCAGAAATGGTCAGGTGCTAATTACTATGATCGTTATCTTAAGACTGTCCAAGGTGGAATCTCATCCACTGCAGCCATGGGCAAAGGTATGTTACTTTTGTTTTTATTGGCACACATATATAATAACATTATCGTAAATAGAGTGTGCAATGAGACTGATTCCACCAATAACACTTATAGGTGTTACCGAAGAACAGTTCAAGGAGAGTTGGACAAGGCCGGGAGCTGATGGGATGGGCGAAGGGACTAGCCTTGTGGTCGCCAAGTCCAGGATGTAAGTCATACAATCATAGCGGTGGTGCGGCCAATGCGGTTCGGCATCTTCGTAGAGAAACTTGGAAACCACACTACCTTTAATTATATCTTTGAACACCCGAGTAAAAGAGAAAAAAAAAAACAGATAATAAATGTATCTTTGTTATTGTTTTCACTTCTTCTACGTAATAATTGGGTTAAAAGTGTTTGGGGCAATATTTTATGGGGTTTGCTTCTTTGTATGGGATATTTGGAACTTTGTGTTCGTTATATAAATGATTTCTATTCTTATATTCGTGATTTTATTTACTTTAATTGCTTGAACAATATGACAAAAAATAAAATTTGCTTGAACCAAAATTTGATCATGATGATGAAAGGTAAAACAATATTTGAAGGGTACATGTATCTTTGCACTTATTGTCACTTATTGTATGCACAATGTTTACTTATTGTTACTTACTTATACTATGCATAATTTTACTAAATCAAATTTTTAGTATATTTATTTTACTTTAAACAAAAATGCCAAACAGAAACAAAAAGGTTTTCTTCTTTTTGCAATTGCATTTGCATGGTAACGCAAATGCAGTGGAACAATCGACAACTAGTTTTGATATTTTTCCATGATTCGTTTTTAAACCTTTTCTTGTTTTTTTTTTTTTCAGTTTGACATTTAGTTAATTAAAAATTCATCTAAACGTCTAACACTTTTTTAGGTCCAATAAAAAAAATTGAGGTCTATATCGAAATTAAAATCTATAAAAATACCAATAAAAATACCAAACAAAGTAAAGATGTTGTATTGACATGACAAAAAAGAAAAAAAAACCAAGAATCAATATTGTCCGATTCATTTTGATTTTTCAACAATGAAAATAATAATAATATAATGTATGATATGAAAATATACATTGATTCGTCGAATGTAAACAGAATCAACCTTTGACAAATAAAGGCAAAGGAGTTGGGTACTTTGCACATGGGAATTAAATACTAACAAAATAATCATCTAAAAGATTAGAGATTAAACATTTTGATTGCGAATCATCGTAATCCAATCCCCAACTAAATTCCCCCACCCGGCAATCACGCGTTATATTCTTCTCTTTTCCTTCTTTTAATTACATATTTATCCGATTATGTTTTGGATTCAAAGCATTATTATTATCTTGTTATAAAACTGTTCTCCCTATGAATCTATTTCCATAGTTGTATATTTGATCATTTAATTAGGACTATTTTTAAGAGACATCATTCGTACCTGATATGCATGTCTTGATCTTCTTCTTAGCTTCTATATTATAAAAACTTTAGTTTATACATCTAAAATAGTGTCTATGTATATTATAGTATTTGTCACAACCACAACGTTTAACTTTCTATGGGAGAAAATTCCCAACAATACCAAACTTTTTGTTTTCGTGGTTGATGATATGCATGCATTATATATGATTTATGACAAAACAAAAGTTTGTTTGCCCGAAATTACTAGATATTTCTATTTGATCAGGAGTTTTCATCCGGTTTTCTTTGGATTTTAGAAAAATTACTGTCTAAAGCCTAAACCTCCTGATAAAAAAAAAAAAAATTTGTTTGCCGCCCAAAATGATTTCATTTAACCTACATAATGCAGCTGCAGCCTGCGGGCTTGTTATAACATACATACATATGTACGTTTATACTTTATAATATTGAACATATATCATTACGAAAAGTTGCGTATTAAAACTAAAAAGTTGAAACAAATGTCACATAGTAACATTCATTTTTGGCCCATGCTCGAGTTTTATATGGTGTGATTAATATAATTGTTAACCATTATAGATGTTCTAAATCATAAATGGGTAAACTATACGAGATTATTCACTATCTATATATAAAAAAAAAATACATAAACATGATGAAGCCGGCAAGTTGATGACGCGTCTTAATATATGCAACACTCTTGTCATTCATGACAATGGACATTGCGTCCCTTAAGCAACTTCTCCAAAAACGTTATTGGATTAAAATTTTTAGACATAGTCATCAGTAAGAATCATGCATCCTTCTAATATATCTAACCAGATTTTACATATACATGAACGTATATGCATGACTAAACATTAATACATATAGGGATATACATTCATACAAATATATATATTAATTAGCAGACAAACGTTTTTTATAATGTTCATGGAAACGAAGCAAGCAATATATAAATTTCTCCACCAAAAACCCTAAATGGCAAACATCAATCATTTTATCGTTGAAAAAAACAATATGAATCCTTGATATGAGATTCTTAAGGATCCGATTTGACACTACAGATGAGATTTAAGGTTCCTTTCTCCGATAGTTCGTAAATATTCTAATTCTCGTGGAAGTGTAGGAATCTCTATACCAATCATACAGCCTCTCAAATAATTGATCTTTCACCTCACTTTAATAATAGAAGCTTAATAATATTTTTAGGACTGATTTTGATATGTTATATTCATAATATTGAGCTCTAGGAGAATGTTGAGCAGCTGCGAAACTATTATACTAGTAACATTCAACGAATTAAAACATTTCATAGGAGTATTAATATTTTTCTTTAACTTGCAAAACAATAATTAAAGCTTCATAATCAATACTGAAAGGAACTAATTAAAGATTTTAATCAGTAATTTATATTACGTCTAGTCATAACCGATTTGATTAGACACTTCATCTAACACGTTAAATGGAAGGCCTCTAATATTTCCAAGACTCCAATTAAAGACTAATTAACAAATTTGTTTCGTATATTCGGATAGATTGGTTTTTGCTTTCTATATATTAGTTTATTTTAGAATAAGAAATTAACTATTGGTGATGACTTGATCGAGCACCTAACACGAAGGTTTGGGTAACGGATGCAAGAAATAATAATTTTTTTTAATAAATCTGAATTTGACCTCATGAATTATATTAGCCAAATCTAGAGATACCGTTAACCTATAAATAATTTCGAAAATAGTATAATGAAAATAAAGAAAGTCTATAGTTTTCTTTAAGCAATGTATCTGATGTATATGGATAATGTTATTTGATCTGGTTATCAATTACTTTGTAACATATATATGAGCATCACAATAGATTATACCAAGTAGCTGGGACGGCTAAGAGTTCATATATATAGTATGCTAAACATTTGGTCAAAATTTTAGATGTAAAACCATATATATAGTTTTAATGGGTGTTTCAATGAATAAATAAGTGAAATTGATAAAACTAATTCTAATTATCAAAAGGAAAAATAAACAATCGAATTGCACCAAAATTAACGTGGGGATATAAGTTTAAATCGTATACTTATCAAAGTATAATTATATCATCCATACAATATGCCATAACAAGGTAGCTAAATAGACATTTAACAACAACAAAAAGGTGCCTGCCAAGATATAACCTAATTTATGCATAACTCTCTCAAACTTTTAAGATTAGATAAAAAGGTGTACGTGTATAATTTGCAAAACCTCACATAAGCTGTATGATATATATGGTAGCTCTTAGAAATGTTTACAAATATATATGTGTAAAGATATATGTACATAAAAGCTATACATATGTAATTAAGCACATACCCATCAAGATGTACATATATATACACACATCAAGCACATATATACATATAAGATGGGTACGAATATATATATATATAAATCCCATTAAATTTACAAGGGTTTATAAAATTATTAATTAACGATGCTTATAGAATTGTATTATCATTCAGAAGCGACCGTTGAAATTAGCCAACATTGATATAGGGACGACGCATAATCCTCTACTCCTCAAATCCATGTTATTGTTGTTGTTTCCTTCTCTGAGATTTCTCATCATCGTCATGTTTTGTTCACCTTCTTGTATTTGGATTTGATGATGATGATGATCCCCCATGCCTCTAATGTTTCCCTATCGTAATCGTTTCCAAAACATATTTACGTGTTACATCCATCAACTATTATAATAAAACATTATCATATAATTAATTTAAAATAATTCACAATCAAGTCTACAATTAAGAAATTATGCAAAAAGAAACTTCTCAATCTTTTCCTTATATATTAATGAAAAATTTTCAAGTGGATAGAGAGACAAATATATTATGTGTCGGAAAGAGAAGTAGAGAGATTACCATAACGAAACTAGAAGAGACATAGTCCTCAAGTTTTCTAGGAGGCGTCTGAATATGTTCAAACTGACTGACCTGTTCAATATATATCATTCATATAAAAATTACAGATATGATCTAACTACCACAAAGAGATATCAATTAAGAAAGGAAACCAAACTAATTATTGTAGTCAATTAGGTGATAATTAATCACTTATATGTTACCATCTAAATTAAAAAAAGTTAGAAAGAAAGTGTTGGATTACAATTTTAATCATGGATCAGGTTTTAGTTTGCTTGTGAACGAAGTAGTAGTGTCTAACCTTAGGGCTGTTGACCGGAGAGCTAGCCGTATCCTCCAAAGAATCATCCTCACAAATCTTTTTGGTTCTTGCTCTCCCAAACTTCAATTTCCCCGGAAAATTAACCGGATAGCTCTTGCCGGAGAAAGCATCCGTGGCAGCATCAGAGACAAGAGAAGGAGAGACACCAGAGAGCGAGCAAGAACTCTTGTCTTCATCATGATGCTGAGTAGTTCTGTATTGATTTGAGAAATCGTCAAGATAAGTTGTCCATCCACTCTCTTCTTGATGATCACCACCACCATGCTCATGATCATGAGCATCAATCTCAATATCATCATCATATGTTTGGTTTTGTTCATATGAGTTACAAGAGAATGTATCCATCATGTAGAGAGGAAGAGGAATAACACCGAAATAAAATGGGAGTATATTTCTTTTTTTGAAGTGGTTGCGTTGTGTATGTGTGTATATATAAGAAAGGTCGCTAAATTTTCATGGTCTTTATTAAAAAAAAAAACGAAATAAAATTAATTGGAGAGATAATAATCGGAATCTTGATGTGGTCATCACATGGGTCCCAAATGCGTTGATCAAAATTATTTATTGAAAGAAAAAACTGAAGCCAACGACGGACTTGTAAAATTGTAAAGAAGTGTTCGTTAACATAGCTTGATAATTTCTATGTAAAGTGAAATGTGTTTTCGAAAAGAATATAATTCGCATACAAAGCTTAAGATTCTTCGGCCGATCGATGTATCATATATAAGTGGATAATATTTATAAAGTTTTTTTTATAATAAATCTTTAGCATATTGTAGTTAAACTTAACATTTGTTTGGTTTTATTATATAGTTTCAGTGACGTTTAATCAAAATCGTTTTGACCCATTATTAAGCTGACATGGTGGGTTTGGCCCAATCTAATGTTTGATTTCGGAGGCATTTACTTTTTTATCATTAGTTGAGACATTGCTTTCAACCAAATTTAAATCAAAACAGCACCACTAAATTACTGACAAACATACAAAAAACAACACTAATAAAACACAATGAACAGACGAATTTTACTTAAAAAAAAATAAAAAAAAATCCATAGTGTTTTTTCAGTGTGAAACGTAATTTACAAACGGTCGGTTGCGATATGACAAAAAAAGTCCCCTAGAAAAACGACTTTGTGATGAAAAAGCTAACTCTCTCGAGAATACAAAACCAAAATAAAGGAGTATTAATGTTACGTTCGTTGAACTTGACCACTTTTTGAATGATGTTTGCGTCCTTGGCGTGAAAATGTCAAAGCCTGATATAAAAAGTTTCTTTCTTTATCGTTAGCCGTTAGAGAATGATAACATCATCCTAGTTGAAACGGTTGGATGAGATGTGCACAAACATGACGATAACATTTTGAAAATGTAATAGGATCGGATGAGATTCTTGGTAATGCAAAAAATAATATAACCAAACTGTAACGGATTGTTGTTGGTTTTTTTTAAAATGGAGCAGTTGGGTATACATAGGACGACGACTAGCTACAATATTGTTTTAATTATATTTTGGAAGGAATCTACAAGTAAAATTACTATATTTTTTATTATTAAATTTTAAGTATTATGAAATTTAATTTTTGAATAGTATAAATCTATATTGCATGCATGTACGCGGAAAGGGATATACGGAAGTAACATGTTTTAGAAACGAGAAACAATTTTTTAGGTTTGGAAACTCTTTTTGAAATTTGAATTTTTTTTTTAAGAATCTAAAGAATCATACATTTCGAAGAGTTTATTTTGGGAATTATCATGTTTTTCCTAAACTGATTTAACCTTTTATTCTAAAATTTGAAAAAATGACAGAAAAGAAAAAAATTGATACCTAAGATATATAAAAAATATATATATATATATAGTTATTAGTATTTGCATATTTTTGGACATCCAACTGAATCAGTAGTGAACTTTCTCATGTGTTATTAGTATTTGCATGTGTTTAGACCGACGTACCTTACAAATCAAATTTGTGTTAAGTCAAAGCACGTCACATCGCAACAAGTTGTTGCATGTGTTTCTGTTAAATTCTACGATTTTTAGAAAGATCAAAAAGTCACAAACATTACAAAATATTCAATAATACCATCAATCAAAAGGTTTAAAACATGGCTACTACATATGCAAAACGAAAACCTAAGTTTTGCAACACTTATTTGAGTGAGACGTACGTGGAGCTTGAAACTCCTAGCTATAGTCTATAGATGTGAAAAATAAAACTCGAACTCAGCTTAATAATACTCAAAAGCGAAATGGTATTTACTATTTATAGAATATACTGGAACCAAAAATCTCCAGTGGTCATCGAAACTGAAAAAAAAAATTACAAAAAACGAAAAGACATAAAAGAAAGAAAATAAATACATTTCACCATCTCCTCTTTTCTTTGTTTTCTTGTTTTTTTCTTCTAACTCTCGAAACCATTGATCTCTCTGTTTTTTTTTTCTTTTTTTGATTGTTTGTTTATAAAAAAAGAAAGAAACAGATAATATAATGGAGAAAGCGGGCGAAATCTCCGCCGCCTCATCCCTCCATTTCGCTTTTAAATACGACTAGACACGGTGGTCCGATCAATCCCACACGGCGGCAAAGCTTGGCAGTGTAATGGTTAAAAGAATTCGAAACGTACGTTACGCTTTCTTTTTTGGATTTCGCTTCTTTCTTTTATATCTATATACAACAAAACACGTTTTTAGATAAAAGATTCTAGAAGTCGATGATTGGTTCTCCGATAGTAAGGTTCCGCTCCACCGTCCATGGCAGATCAAACAGCTTCGCCGTCACAAACTTGAAGATCTTATTCACGTTTATGTTATAAGAAGCACTCGAGAAGAAGAGCGTCGCGTTTAGCGCCTTCGCATATGTTCTCGCCTGTGTGTGTCACACACACAACATTGTGTAATGAGTTTATTTGATTTGTTTCTAACATCTCTTATGTTATGACTTATGAGTATGAGTTTTCCAAAAACGTTACCTGGCTAGCAATAGTCCATTGCAGATCAATAGGAAGCTGAATAAACTCATCAAACTTGGTTCCTACCATAACTGGAATCGCCGTCTGCATTAAATGTATCAAAACCATATTAAAAACATTTGAATCTAATACAAGACATTAAAAACATATCAGTTTAATTCATACTTTTGTTCTTTTCTATGCCTAAGCCCAAAATACACGTCAAAAATTATGTCTAAGCCAAAACATACGTCACAGTCACAATCAATCAAACCCGAAATTGGCATATAAATGATAGTGAAATGTTATAAAATAAAATGATGATATAATTATATACCTGATTAGACTTCCTAGCTTGTTGATACCAGCTAATCACACTATTAAGCGTGCAACGACTGGTTAGATCAAACATAAAGAGAATGGCTACAGAGTCCTTGCAAGCCATTGGGATCTGATCCCTTGATCTCTCAGCCCCTGTAAACAAAGGTACACACGAGACTAATAATTAGCTTCTAATTCCTAATTATCTTCTGAATAACAACATTAATTATTTACCTTCTAATTCCCAAATACTATATGAAATGCGAGCTCCTCCCATGTATAACGTCTTGTCCGTACAATTGATCCCTTTCTCCAATTCTATCATTTCCACTTCTTTCTCTTCACCAACATATTTCGCCTTCAACCAAAGAAACATCCAAATTATAATTAATTTTACGCGATTATGAATTTATGATTATGAGTATGATCATGGTATTGATTTTGGTATGTAAAACTACTAACCAGGAAGCTAGTTTTTCCGATTTCTGGATCACCTAAGAGACTAATCTTCAAAGAGACAAGATCAGAATCCGATCTCCGATGATGACCATTATCGTGATCATAAACCACGGAAGAACGACGAACAAACTCGCCGCCATCAATGACATCCACGGCGGGGATGGGAGGAGGAGAAGGAGAAGGACGAGAAACAATGGGAGAAGGAAGAGCGCGAGAAAGCAACAGATATCTCCTGGATTTACCAGGAGTACAAGCGACGATCCTGCTCCATAACAAACGAGTGAATCGTCGGAGAATCAAAATCCGACGATTCACTCTGTTCCTTAGATTGTTGATCCGAACAATTTTAAGACAAGATTGAGCCATATTTGAAAACCGATAATGAAGCGAAGAAGGAGAAGGAGAAGGAGGTTATAGGGAAAGAAGCAGCTTCAAGATTAAGATGAAGAAGACGAGAAGCTGCTTGGTTCCATATTGGCTTATTGGGAGAAAAAGAAAAGGAGAGATAGAGAGAGATGTCAATACATAATGCCCCGAAGCTTTAGCTTTTCTATGTTCCTTCCTTTTTTTTCGGACGAGACGACAACACTTTTATTTATTTAAATAACCTTCTTTGTTTTTTATTTTTTAATTATTTTGAATTTACTATTTTTGTTTCAATTGTTTTTTTTTTGAAAATTTTGGGCACAACACAACGAACTTTTCTGGTGAAGATGTGATGACCACATTGAGAGAAATTTTTGACATTTGGTGCTAGGAAAAAAAAAAAGTTGACATATGAAACATACGAAAAAGACGTATCAATCAATCAGTTTATTATTACGTGCTTGCATTTGTATGCTACACAGAGAGAGTTTCTAGATTTTTTTTAAAGTATGAATATGTTGACGAATTCAATTATACTTTTTTCTTATATGTTTGTATTAGGCGAATTCTAAATAAATTAGATATAAACTCGTCTAAAAATTTCAATGATTTAAAGATGTTTGAGTAAATATTAGTATTTTTTTAGTAAAAATAAATAAATTATGTGAATGAGTTGATGATTTTTCAGATTTGTGGCAAGAAAGCAAACAATGATGATGTGTGTCTTCATGTACCCACCACCGCATGTGAGTCATGTTTTTGGATGATTGCACAAAAATTTTGGGTTTTCTTCCTATAATTTCGATTATATTTGAATCACAAGTTGAAGTGAGTTCTTTATTTCTTTCGACATAATCAAATATTGAATCAACTAATCATATGTTAATATAGGGAATCAAATGCTGTTGATTTAATTTGGTTTTTAAATTGTAGGTTCGCTTCAAATGATGATTTTTTTTTTAAATCTTTTGGTTTAATAATTGAGATCCACGTGAATTTAAAACCCACGTTATAAAGAAAGATGTCCTGATAAAAAGACATGTCTCCGACCATTGTTTTTATTTAAAAAAAAATTAAAACCAAATTTGCACTATCGTGTTAAGGGCTGCTAAGTGCTAACTTTTTTGGTTTTTTAAAAAAAATATTAAAATATAAAAGTTGAGATTACATATTAGACTATCCAAATTATTACCAGCACCAACGTTTGAAAGGAGTTTGAATTAGGCTTCGAATGGGAAAATAAAATAGGCAGAGCAGATCAAGTGTACAAGGCAGATCTAACAAAATAAAAGAAGATCAAGCAGATTTGGCAGTTCAAGTGCAGATCCTACATTAAAATAGAGGTGTTTAATCTGCTCTGCTTTATAGGGAAAAAACATGACCATAAAATAAATTTTTTTTTTTTTTTCCACCTACAGAATTTTAACAGGAGAACTGCAATTATAAATGATAATTATTTATTTTTATGAATGGTAAACAAAAAGCAGTTAATCTGTCCTGCTATATTACTGCTTTATATCTGCTTCTCTATTCAAACCCTTAGTATCACAAGATTAAGTCATGTTTTTGTATCTACAATTTTACAAAAACTCTAATAATAGCACTATTTCAGATATTGAAAACATCTTGTTTCATTCATTATTGTGTCTGAGTCAACAAAATAATAAATTAGGTTTAAATGTGTTGACAGAAAAAAATAACACAGATGTAACGTGGCGACCATTATTGGCTTGTCTCAGTATTTACTCTTATTTATATCCATGTTTTGTTGTATTGTTCAAATGAGAATCGTGAAATTTAAAAGTATTATAGATTTTTTTTGGGAGCAATTTATTTCTCTAATTTTTATCGAACAAGAAAAGAGATATATCGTCTAGTAACTTAGATGATATTTTTATAAAATATTTTTAAAAACTTATATGGATTTTTAATTTCTATATTTTTGGATTTATGTATATTTTCATGTTCTATTAATCAAAAAAATAATAGTATTATTATTACTTTTGGGCCTATCAGAGCAAGCTATTACAACATTAGTGTGTTAATCAGAGAACTATGATTATGTCAAATATCGAATTAGACTCCAAATTTACTTTGGGCCTCAACGCAAATGAGCTGGACAAATTTTATGATTCATATTAATTTTCAGTTTACTTGTTGGCCCATATAATCGGGACAAGACCTGACCCTGCCCCATTTTTATATTCAAACTTTTAAGTTCTCAATAACAAAACATGCATCACATTCAAAAAAGAGAAACCTTAAAAAGAGAATCTACCAAAAATATCATTCAATTAAAAAAAAAAAATTCATCAACATATGATAAGTAATAACTAAGATCTATCCAATCCAAGACAGGCACAACCTGTAATTTTTTGAACAATCACATACAAACCTTAAAAATCAAGTTGTCGATAGGATTAAAGGTAGATAGATCTATATCCTTCATTACTAGCTCACAGATGAATCATTCAGAAACCACATCTTGTTTCTTGTTGCTCCATTTGTCCAACCTCTTGGAAGCTTCTTCAACCTGAAACAAACATAACACCTCCATATAATTCTCCAAGACTACCAAATCAATAATGAAAACATAGTTTGCTATGGTAGAGCAAGCAAACGTACTTCTTTTGTCCAGTCTGTTCTGAACGTGACCCACGCCAAAATGAACGTTTGTATAACTGTACCACCGATCATCCCCGTCCAAATACCCTATAACACATCAACAAAGTTGTTAGCCTTAACATTTGTCTGTTATGTTATGCAAGAAAGGTATAAGAAAACTATCTTGCCTTGGCACCGAAGTTGTAGTAAAATCCAAAAAGAGCTCCAAGAGGGATTCCGATAATGTAGTAACATCCAACATTAACTTTCGCAACAAATGTTTGCCAACCACATCCAACCGCCACACCTACAATGAAATTATCCCCAAAAAAACTTATTTTTCTCTTATTCGGTTTAAGAAACACTAGCTAGAAGGATTTACCAGAGAGGACAGGTTGGATTCCGTTGAGGACAAGGGTCACGGCAAGAAGTGGACAGAGATCAGAAACAGCGTCCGCGACTTCTTTACCCTCAGTGAAGGCATAGCTCAAAACGTCACGGCACGCCAATATAACAATGGCCAAGATCACACATGTGATTAACGAATAAATATTGACGATAATAACAGAAAACGCTGCTGACTTAGGGTTCCCAGCTCCTAGTTCATTGCTCACTCTTACACTATAAAATAAACATCATACCAAATTGTTAGCACATTTCGTCAGATTTTTATAGGACAATTAGGAGCTCATCATGGTTCAAGTATATGATTTAGCATTGTTTAAGTGTGTAAATAAAAATTGAATAGAGATATTCTTAATATTAAGTACTCGTGAAAGCAAAAGGTGAGGCTAGGAAAAAACAAACCTTATCGCTGCATTGAATCCAACAGATATCATGAACACCCAACCTGAAATCGTCATGCTGAAAGACAAAAGAAAAAAACAAATTACTTAACAACCATCATTGCTTGTCCAAAGATTTTAATATTGCAACTTTTGACTTGACATGGAAAAAGAATGAAATATCAAATATTAGTATATAGAGAAGAGAATTCGATATTGATTTGGTGCAAGTACCTAAATGGGGTGGCTTCTTCTGTTTGGTAACAGAGCAAAAACAGAACTTTTGGTGGAATAAAAAATAACTAATACGACTCCCCAAAAAACCAATCTAGATTTACAAATATTATTGTATATCATATCTTCAACAGAATAAAGAATAAAATTCAGAGTTTCTTTTGTCCATTCAGTAGAGTAGTATACAATGAAAAAACTATTATTCGATTCCATCTAGATAATTTCACAAAACAAATGGTCGAACAGAAAATTATTAAAGTTAAATTCTATTAGTTAAGAAGAAGACAAAACAAGGTGCCAAAAAAAACAAAACGAGCAGACTTAAAATGAAGAAATCTGATGTGACCATAGGTTATGTCTTTATACCAGTCGGAGTGTCATACTTGTTCACCACCACAAGCTAATAAAACTTACATATTTAAAACCAAACTTGGATTTGTACTCTTATTACTCGAAATTTTGTTCTATGCTTTTTCAGATCGAATAATAAAAATTCTAAAAGTTTAAGCCGAATCAGTACTAGAAAATACTAGAATACTTCATCAGACATGTCTCTATAACCATACATATTCACGTGGACGACTAACTACAGTACTATAACTACTATCTATGATAAAGCATAAACCAAACGTATCTACTATATGTGGACGACAAATAATTAAATTTATTTTCTATGGTTTAGGAATCAGGAGGAAATATTTTGCAGGAAAAAGAAACAAATTCTAAAATTAAGTAAAATTAATTACACTTTTTTTGGTCAAGACTCGAGAGTTAAAAAATTTAATTTACTTAGAAATATTAAATTTGTTAAGGAAAGAATCATATTTAGTTTGACTAAAAAAAAGGACTTACCAAATAGAGAGTGAATCAAGAGCAAGTTCAGGATTCTCGAGAAGTCCGGCGAGAAGAACGAGAATCTGAAAATACCAAGTCTCAAGGCAAAGCATCACGGCGGAAGCGGCGGAGAGTTGAAAGAAACTCCATAACCCCGAGAAAGCTTGAACACTAAATCCTCTCCACGTCTCACGACACCTCTCACTCATCACAATATAAACAAACTGAGCCACAACTATAATCCACCACGACAAGCTAAGCACAAGAGACGCACCAAGAAGTCCCATACCAAGCTTGTAAACAGCGAGCCAACTAAAGAGAAGGTGAACAAAGAGTGTAGCTGTTGAGATGTAAGCACTCGGAGCCACGATGCTTTGTGACTGGAGGAACTTTTGGATCGGGAAGTTTGCTGCGTAAGCAAAGATTTGAGGGATAAGACCGTAGACGAAGAGTGATGCGGCGGAAGCTATTGCTGGAGATTCACCAAGCAAGAGGAGGAAAGGTTCGGAGAAGACGTAGAGTAAGGTGAGGAGGAGGCCGGTGAGAGTCAGTAATACGGTTGATCGTTGGAGATAAACTCCGAGCATCTCGTATTTTTTACCACCGTATGCTTGACCACACAACGTCTCCACTGCACTCCCCATTCCAAGCTATCAAATCCCAAAAAACACTTGTCAAGAAAAAACATCGAGACATAGGTTGTGTTGTAATAAAATCAGTAAA